GGCCTCCCTGTAGAAGTTGAGATTCTGCTTGTGTAGACTTTATAGTTCTGGCCTTAACTTTTGCCTAGGTGGCCAGCATGTTTTCCTAAGGAAGCCCACCTAGTTGAAAGGAGCCACCAGAAGAAATAAGCCAGAGAGTCCTGATGTGATGTACCTGTAGAAAATGTTTTTCTAATTTCCCACAAGGGGCTATAGTTGCATATACCAATTTGCTCTTTAGCTTCTGTGAGCCTTCACACTGCTGGGATTGAGTACAGGCAGCCTGGAGCAGGCCTAGATGAAAGCTTGTTGGCCTCAGTCTGGAACAGAACCATGGGAGATGGCCGTAGCCAAAAGGCCAGGCATGACAGAATTTGGAGCTCTCCTGGACAGACCTAAGGGTCTTCAGTCTCAGCCTTATGTAATGTGGGAGGGGTAGCTGGTGACAGGTACCCTCATCCAATGTCCATTTTGTAGAGGCTGTCCAGGCAGTGGGTATGCCAAGAGGTTAGCCAGGTTCTAGAATTCCCTTTTGAAGTTGCTCCATGTACTTCAGGTGATTTATCCCTGAGCCAGCAAGCATTACTCCCCTGCATGTGCTGTTCCCACTGAGCTCTGCAGCCCTGCAGCCCTGCATACAGGTCCTGTGCTAATAGTGGTCTGCGTTAATTTGCCTAAGGCCTCCTTGCTAAGCCTGATTCCTTCTGTTTCCATGGTGCCTTCCTTCTGAAGCAACACTTTCCTGCTGTTTCCATAACATGTTGTAGCATTTCTGTAGGCTGCACCTCAGCAGCCCAAGGTCCTGGTACAGGCCCACATGGTGCATAGGGTTGTGCTGGGAGATGGGTCTGGGGCAATCTTGCTCTCCAGTCTTGGCTCCAGCAAGGTTGCTATACATGTCTTAGACTCCTTAAGTCTGTTTTTTTCTGGAAACCTCCAGGAGACTGGTCCTTTAAAGTTGGCTCATAGGGACAGTTAGATAGCTCAGTGGCTTAAGTGCCTACCGGGCAGGCACAAAGTCCTGAGTTCAATCCCCCCTATCATAAATAAATAAAGTTGGCTCTTAACCTGGATACAGGTGGAGATCCCCACACAGTACCTACTTGTTCTTCCTGAGTGGCCAGGTATTAGGCACAGAGGCCTCATCTGCCACTTCTAGTGTGTACAGCCCAGGATGTTCAAAGTCTCCATTCCCAAAGTGGATTGCTGCAGCCCTAGGGACAGATAGTTCATACTCCAGCCAGAGTCTGATCTCAGGCACCCTAAGAAGATATTATCACCCCACTGGTGAGTTTACCTGGTTCAGCCCTACATCCTATGTATTGATTTGTGTTGCCCCTTCCCTGGCCAAGGTGCTCTGGGCTAGGAGGCTAGACCTAGGGTAGGAATTATTCATAGGATCCACCAACAAGTTACATTTAAAGAGTACATTCAGTGAAAAAGCAAGCCCCATTGAGGCTTGGGAACGGATCTGATCCTGCTAATACTCTGAACACAGCTCAAGCTCTCCCCTTTTTCCAAGGTTTAAAAGCCTAGTGCTAGTGCTAGTGCTGGCTTGCCCAGTGTCCATGGTTATTCAGGCAGCTGGTTGCCCTCTGGCCTGTGCATTGCCCCTTTCTGGCCTGCCAACTTGTCATCTGCTGTTATTTCTTTGTTGCTGTTAACTTGCTTGTCTCTTCTCTTCCATTCCTTTTTCCTTTCCAGCTTGGGAGGCCTAAGTTGCCATTATGTCTTATGTACCCAGCGTATTAGTGGCACTCAGTAAACTTCCTCCTCCTCTGTGGGATCTCAGTACCTAACAAGATGCCTACATTGTCTTGATTAAGTGGTCCTTGCTCACTAACCATGCACTGCTGCAGTGCCTAACACCATTAGCAAATGTGACACATGGGCCTTAAACCCCTATAGTCCCCTGGTGATTATAGCTGCCTATGAGATTCTTTCTGTTCTGCTTATGGGATAACTGAGAAGTCAGAAACTGGAGTTTGGGATGGCCTGGTCTTAGGCCCATAGTCTAACCTCCTAAGGCTTGGCTCTGATGCTCTGGACAGCCTGACAAGGGTGAGCCCTCTTTCTGCCCTTTCCATCTTTGCCTTCTACCAATGATCTATTGAGGCAGCGCAAGCCATGAATGATTCTTAAACCTGACAGTGTACACAAGTCACGTAGTTGGCTCTTCTGTAGGAGGGGGAAGTCCTCAGAATCCACAGAAGTCCTCAGTCCAAACTATGATGACACTGGTCCTTTTTAGTCTTAAGCCATTTTGTGGAAGGTGGTGGCCCCATTCTTCACAAGGAGTGGGGTAGTGCAAAAGTGTCCCCCCTTTTTGGAAGTTGGCCCTTCTGGTCCTTTGCTCCTGCTTAGAAAACTGAGGTCCAGCAGGTGAAAAGAAGAGCTAAGAGGGCTAGGCTTACAGGGATAAAGGCCAGAGCTGCAAGGTGGAGAAGTCTAGGCCATGGAGGCTGGCATTGTAGTAGAAAATGCCCCACCTCCACCTCTAGTATAATTCCATTTCTTAGTTGCCCAGGTAGTGGTTCCTGTTCCAGTTGTTATTGATTTCTTAGAAATGGCTAAAGGGCTGGCCAGATAGCTCAGCGGATTAAAGTGCCTGCTTAGGCAGATGCAGGGGCTGGGGGTTCGATCCCTGACCTGCCATGCTGGTCCTGCCCCTGGGGCCTGCTGAGATGGTGATTGAGACTGGACATGGTGGTGCATGCCTGTAATCCCAGTGCTGGGGAGGCCGAAAAACATAGGAAGGATCAATAGAAGTCCTATCTGTGTAGTGAGACCCTGTAGACCCTGTACTAAATACATAAAGAAAAAGAAATGGCTGGTCACTATGATGCACATTGTATGAACCAATCCCTAATTGGAAGTCCATTCTGCCTCTACTTTCTGCTTGCTTATCCCATATAAGCCCTAGACCACCACCAGAGATCAGGGCCTGATATTTTGGGAGTGATCCTGATCAACACCCATCGATGTAAATAAATCTGCCTCCAAATCTTAGGTGTCATTTCAGTGTCTCTGCTTGCCATTGCAGCATGTCCTTAGAAGGGATGAAGTCAGAGGTCTTTGTGAGGTTGGGACATTGTCATGGGTGGAGCAGGACCCACCTTGAGAGAAAGGAATATAGAGGTTCTGGGGCACAAGGGCTCTGTGCCTCACATATGAGGCACGGAATTTAGATTTATCTCTTTAAGAAAAAGCAGGTTTTCATAGTTTTTTATTTAGATATTGGGAAGGAACCCTTGAAACCAGTAGGTTTTACCTCCTAGATAGAAGATGGTGTCCGTGAAGAAGAACCCTAATACATGTGTTGTTTTGTGCCCAAGATACCTCCCCACCTTTAGGCTGTGGTGCATCCATAAGAGTCAGGAATCTTGCTGCAGAAAGAGCCAGCGCTGTCCTCAGGACTGAGCTAGCAAGCTGCTCCTTTGTGAGGTTGGGAGCAGGGAGATGAGCACAACATTCTGTGCCCTTTGCCTGTGAAGAGCTCCACAGCAGCCTCAGGATCTGAGCCACCTCTCTTGATCTGTGCAGTCATCTTCCCCACACATACCTATAGGTCTTGGTGCTGAGAAAGCTGGGGTGGTGCCCTCACCTCAGTGGAGACCTCAGTCTTAACTGTCTGCCCAGGGCATCTATTGGGACAGGTACCAGGCACCAACCAGGGAAGGCCCTGCCCTTTATTGCCATGCTACTGGATCACATATTGAGTCCCTGTAGTACCCAAGTTTTGTTGGACTCAGCAGCCCCCAAATTACATGCAGCTGGTTATGGGCCTAGTCTTTGGCGGGGAATGACAGAAACTCACTGCCCCAACCCTCAGTAGTCCTTGTAGCATTTGTATATTGCTCACCTTTGGTGGTTCCAGTGCCCTATGGCCTCAGCCAGGTCTGTGGTTCCTTCATCTCGAATGTCTGTTTCCAGCAGGGTCATGTGGTATGATGTATCTACATGGGGTTGTGCTTGTCCTGGCTGGGCCTTGGAAGGGCACGTATACCTCCTGGCAGGTAAGGCCACCAGCCCTCTGGGTGACCTCAGCTGGCCAGCCATGACCTCAGTGGATGAGTAGGCTGGCCAGGTGCAGGAGGAGTACCTTTTGAGCAACTGCATCATCCATCTACAGACCATGAGCCACAGGTGAGGGCTCCTTCAGTGGTCATAGTCACTGGGAAAGCCCTGAGTCTGCCATCAGCAGAAAATGAGGCTCTTCTCATGGTGGTAGACTCAGGCTCAGTTGCCGAAAGGTGCTGGCTTGGTGCTGGCACTGCTGCTCCATAACCCAGCCTGAGAAGGAGAAAGGTGGGAGGGAAGAAGCCTATGTGTTTCTTAGAAGTTCAGCCCACAGTTGGCCTGTCATGGGAGAGCTTCAGTGGAGGGAGGCTAGTGCTTTAGGTCATTGCTACTTGAAATCTCACCTTAAATGCAAACTCAGGGCCTTCCATAGAAATAGCTGAAGCTTGTATTAGACTCAAAGAAAAAAAATCAGTGAAGTTTGTTTGTTTGCTTCTGTGTTTTGAAATAAGGTCTCCCTGTGTAGTTCAGACTGCTCTTGAACTCACTGTGTAGCAAGGCTGGCCTCAAACTCACAACAGTCCTTCTGTCTCAGCCTCTGAAGTGATGGAATTATAGGAGTGCACCACCATGCCTAGCTAGACTTTGCTTTGAATCTCCAGGTACCATGCATATGAGTATGTTTTGGACTTAAAAGAGCTGTGGATAACCCAAATATGACTACTGCTCTGGATTTTATTTGTTTTGTATGAGGTGGAGGTGCTTGGGATCCAGCCTAGGGCATTGCTGTCCTAGGCAAGTACCACACTGTTGAGCTACACCCTAGCCCCCAATTTTTTTTTTTTTTCTTCAGTGCTGAGGAGTGAACACAAGACATGCTAGTCAAACACTGTACCACTGAACTACTCCCCTTCCCTGATTAGTTCTGTTGAAATGACCTGGCTTTAGTCTGGATGCAGGAATTGTAATTCTGTGAATTACGCTGTTATATTTTTTTGTAGGATGAAACAGGTGCCTATTTAATCGACAGAGACCCTACCTACTTTGGACCTGTGTTGAACTACTTGAGACATGGAAAGCTGGTTATTAACAAAGATCTTGCAGAGGAAGGTATGTTGTCCTTTTTTCATAGAGAAGTTGGCTTTGGGTCTGGGAACTATGAAGATACTGGCTAGTTGACTTCTATGTAGACATTTTGAGCCAGAGTCATATGCTAAGCAGTGTGCCTCAAGCTTGCGGCTGGGCTAGAGTCTTGGGTGCTTCCTCTGAAGACAAGGCTGATGGCTCTTGGGCTGCTCTGTCATGATTCCTACAGGACTTTGGGTGAGGCCCAGTGGCTTGTGAGGATTGCTGTGAATAAGGGTCACTTTATAGACACCCTTTTCGAAGTATTTGGTTAGTTCTGCAGGTGTGGGTGGGCTCCACCTTTTTTTCACAGCTGCTTTGGCTCCCACAGCCTGAGGCTATGTGTCACAGATACACCCATGGTGAGCCTTGGGGGTCCTTGCCCTTCTTCCAGGACAGCTCTGGGTTAGCAGGCATTCTATACTATAACTGTGTCTCTGCCTCTTGTGCTGGCCACTGCATTGCTTCCTGTCAAGGCTGGCCTATTGCATAGTAGTATTTTGGTATTAGCCCAGAACAACAGGACCAGGCCAATGTAGTGTTGCATGCCCATAATCTCAGCACTTTAGGAGGCTGAGGCAGCAGGATTACAAGTTCAAGCCCAGCCTGGGCAATTTAGCCTCTTAGTGAAACCTCTCTCAAAATTAAAAATTAAAGAAGGAAAAGCCAGTGGTTATTTCTAGAATGCCCTAGAAGAGTCTAGTCCCTTTCTTGGACCAGTTGGTCTATACAAGAGTACACAGGTTTTCTTCCTTCAGCTCCTTCCCTGTCTTCATTTCTTTTCTCTGGCCCTGTCATCCTTTTGTGCTCATGTACCTCCCAGCTTACTGTCCTGTCATCTGAGTTGTTGCTTAGCTTAAACATGGAGACATAACTCTGCCTTAGGCTATGTATTCCTTGTGCATATCCAGTGGCAGCTTACTCCATGGGATACCCTTTCCTCTCACCCTGTTTGGAGTATACAACTTCAGGCCTCATTTCCCATAACTTTCCATCTTTCCCACGTTGCTTTGCATTGACCTGAGATGCTGTGGCCTAGATATGGCTTCCTTTGGAGAGGCTGAAGAATTGAGCAGAGGTTCTAGACCCACAGGAAATCCCTGAAGCTGGGCCCTGGAAATCTGCCTTAGGTATCTGGGAGGTTATGAGTTTCTGAGTGTGGAACGTTGCTGATGGCAAGCTTTGGAAAAGGCAAGAGAGCTGTGAGCAGCCCTCAACCAGCCAGCCTTCACTTAAGTAGGAAAACTGAGGTGTGAGTGACTCACACATACACATCAGGTTCTGATGTCCTGGCCTATGGCATAGGATGTAGGTCTCTAGGCTGCAGAAGAAATGCACCAGTGACTGCCCAGTGTCCATGGGATCAGCATAGCTTGTCTGCTCTGCATATCACCTGGAATGATAACATCCAGAATGTAAACATCATTGTCTGTCATTTTTGCCCTCTGTCCCTGCTGAGCACTATGAGCTACAGATCTGTGAGGACATTAGGATAGGCTGGTCATGGAGATGGGAACAGGTGGGAAATGTTTGTTCTTTTATGTGGTGAAAACTTGTTATTTTCCTCTGTTCCAGGAGTGTTGGAGGAAGCAGAGTTTTACAATATCACCTCACTAATAAAACTTGTAAAGGACAAAATTAGAGAACGAGACAGCAAAACATCACAGGTGAGGCAGTAACTTATATGTAGGAAGTTTTCAAGCCCAATGTTGGCACAGCTGTCCTTTCTCTCTGCTGAATGTGGACCATAATGTCCTGTCCTGTCCTGGTGCCTTCCAGCCCCTCTTGTAGCACCTCAGACAGGACCCATGTACCTCTGCCCATCTCACGGAGCCATGTTCCAGTGGGAAAAGACGGATAATGTAAGGCACGCTAAACCTCTCCTATTAAAAAAAAAAAAAAAACAATTAGGTAGCTGCATGGAGAGGGGGGTTGGGCACTGAAGCAGAAGAAGCCTAGTAATGGGAATGGGAGAACTAGAGGCCTCTGATGGGAGGGCATCCAGGGAGGGGCAGCAAATGCAAATGGTTTGTAGCCATTGTGGCTGGAGGAAGGGCAGTGATGAGCTAAGAGGTAGACAGAGCAAAAACTGGGATCTGTGCAGGTACCAAGAGGACTTGGGTTTTCCTGAGTGTCAGATTGTGCTCAGGAATGGTGCCACGTGCTTTCTGCCAACCTTGCTGAGCACAATCACACATGGCCACAGTTAGTGGTCCTGCTACTGTCCTTGAGGCTAGTGCTGTCTAGGATAGAAGCCATTTAGCACCTTCTGAGGAGGAGGCACCAATCACTCTCAGGAACTGGTCTTGTCATTGTACCAAAGTCTGTGCTGGAGACCAGCTGGTTCTATACCCTGAAGAATAAGGTGAAGTAGGTTTCAGTAGTGCTTTGTGTTCAACCCTCTGTTCTCCCTACCCCCATAATGGGCTTTCCCACTGTGCAGATAGTAACCCTGAGCCAAAGTTCCCTGTCCTGTAGAAGAGCACTAAAAGAAAAGAGGAGCACTAATGGCCTGACCACTTACTGTCTTGTCAGTTATTGGGCCACCAGAGAGTTATACATGTGACCTACCCCTAGCCTGCTCAGCAACAGGGAAAGGCTTAGGGAAAGCCTCCAGTCTACAGGGCAGTAACAGATCTGAGGCACTCCTTGATCCCCTCATTTGTACATGTGGTCTTTTTCTTTAATCTTCCATCCCACAACTATATGAGCTAGGTAGGCTGCATTGCACCTTCCTGTGCTAGTGTCTGCCTACCCAGAGGCAGTACAGACTCTTCTCAAAGGGCCAGGCCTCACAGTAACATATGTCAACCAGTGCAGTTCACTAGCAGATGAAAGGGACAGCAAAGACAGCACATGACTTTGTTACCAGGTGTCACTGGTACAAGTCACTCCAGAATGCCACATGACCTGGACCCTCATCTATCCTGTATATGTTGTCACCCCCTCCTGTTGTATCAGCTCTGGGAAAGCAGACCCTGGTCTCACCTGGCTGCCTATGTGCCAAGGACCAAAGCTATTGGAACCCAGTGCAGAAACTTCCTTGGGGCTTCAGGAGGCAGATGTGGTCCTGGGATGCTAGGTCTGTGTCTGAGCCATGACATATGACAGCTTTATCTAGGTACAGGAGCAACCTATATTCAAGCCTTCCTGCTAGGTCCTTTCCAGTGGTCAGCATTGAGACCAGTATGGCCCCATGTAGAACAGAGGCTGATGTTCCTGTGTTTTTATACAGCTACAGGTGCTGTCAGGGGTGTGACTTTGTTTTTCTAATTTAAAAGTAGAAATAAAGGGCTAGCGAAATAGCTCAGTGGACTAAGCACCTGCCTTGCAAGTGCAGGGACCAGGGTTAGATTCCCCAGTCCCTCATGGCACGCTGGCCCCGCCCCCAGGGTGTGCTGAACCCACAAACAAGTCTGGGTGTGGTGGCGCATACCTGTAATCCCAGCACTGGGGAGGCTGAAAACAGGATCACTACAAGTCTGAGCTGTGTAGTGAGACCCTGTACCAAATACATAAAAACGAAAAAATAAAAATAATAAAAGTAGAAATAAGCCAGGCATGGTAGTACATGCCTGTAATCCTGGCACTTAGAAGGCTGAGGCAGGAGAATTGTTACAAGTTCAAGACTAGCCTGTGCTGCAAAGTGAGCTCAGGGCCATCCTGGACTGCTTGTCAAGACCCTATCTCAGAAAGACGAAAAGAAAAGAAAAATATTGGCAGGGTGGGGATGAGACAGTGGCACATGGAAAGGGAGCTCTTGAGGTGCAAGTTATCTGTGTGGGTGTGTGCAGAGTGGTTCTGGGCACTGAGACCTGTGGAACATGACTGGGTCCTTTGGCTTGGTGTGAGGTGTGGCCCTTGTCCTTGCAGGTACCCGTGAAACATGTGTACCGCGTGCTGCAGTGCCAGGAGGAAGAGCTCACACAGATGGTGTCCACCATGTCTGATGGCTGGAAGTTTGAGCAGGTGACAAGCTGCTGGCTGGTGCTGCCACTCCAGGGGCCATTGAGAAAGCTGCTCCAGGACATTCCTGGAGACAGTGCCTTTGTGTCCTTAAGCCCTGGCTTCCTCAGCTGGCCCTCACCTGTCCCGGCGCAGTGATTGGAGTTTGGGTATGGAGGTGCGACTGTTGAGAGCCCCACCCCCTTCCAGGGGTGTCATGTGCTGCCTCAGGCCCTCTGGGTGTGAGGTTGCCCTGATGAGCATCGATGGCCAGGCATCGTGTACACACAGGTGGCTCTCGTATCCCTGCTGTTCTGAGGGCTCGGGTGTGAGGACCTGTGGGCTGAGTTATGCCTCTCACCTCAGAGTCTATGTTGTCCCTTCCATGTGACCTAAGGACCAGATGCTGAGAAACTGCTGTCATCAGTCCTGGATCTGTTACCTTGGTTGTCTTTGTTTGAAATTGGTACACTGTGTCCTCTTTTGCTATCTATCTTGTGACTTTATTTATTTATTTATTTATGTGTGGTACTGGGAATCAAACTCGAGACTGTGCACATGCCAGTCAGGCACTTGGGCTGCTGAACTGTCTCCTTGACCCTCTTGTGACTTTTTGAAGGGAGTGCAAAGAGCATCCTCTCACAAGACTAGCTTCAGGACTTTGTCCTTGGCTGTCCTGGATAATTGTAGACCCATCCCACAGGACACACCTCTTCTCCCTTGATTCCAACCTTTGTACAGTCATCCCTGGGGACATTTCCGTGCCACCAGTTTATTCTGGTAAAACCCCAAGTGCTAGCCTAGCGTGGTAGTATATGCCTGTAATACCAGTACTCAAAAGGCTAAGGCAGGAGGATTGCTAAATTCAAGGCCAGCTTGGGCTATATAGTGAGTTCAAGGCCAGCCTGGACTATACATCAAGATCCTGTCTGAAAAAAAACCAAAACAGAACAACCCCAAGCCCCTGAGTCATATAGTCTATTAAGAAACATTTCTTCCCCAAAGCAGAGCCAGAGGTATAAACGTGCTTGGGGGCCAGGTCCTTGTGAGATGACCAGATCCAACTCAGGGTTACTCCACGAGTAATGAGGCCACAAGGTTGCCTTGTGAGAACAGTCTGGCAGAATGGAGATGTGTTTCTTCATTAGCGCCCCTCAACCCTGTTGCCTGGGCCAAGGCCAGCATCCTCCTGTCTCCTTACCTGCCAGGGCCCCCACTGCTGCAGGTGTGACCACTCACTGTCAGGATTCCTGTCCTGACCTTGCTTCTGATATATAGGCTAGGGCATGTTTTGATCACTCGCTGGCTCAGAAATTCTGCCATAAACATTCTTATTGTATTGGTAAGTTTCCTTTTAATTAATTTTGTGTTTAAAAAACAAAGTACTTGGTAGCTGTGGGCTAGCTTTGTCTAACCTGTATGGCTAAAGCAGTAGCACAGCCTGAGGTCACTGTGCTGTTCCTTTTGGCCTGCTGTCCTGGAGGCCATAGGGCAGGTTGCAGTGGTAAGGGTGTGCCCATAGATCACAGCCAGCACACAGGTCGAGGTCCAGAAACCACAGCTATTGTTCGGCCCTCTTGGTCTTCAGAGCTACCTGACTTCCACCTGCCTTCCTGCCAATGCTGGGCATAGTTTTGGGGTTGCTTGCTCTGAGCTGGGAAGTAGGGTCAGTACACAGAGGTCCTGTTTCCCAGGAAGGACCTGCTGGTAGCTGTGGGGACAGGCAGAATGCCAAAATCAATACCTCATGATGTGCATCACAAGATCTGGCCTTTTCTGTCTGTTGCAGTCTCTGGGGTAATCAGTCAGTGTCCCCTGTGGGCCTGACTGGGAACTCTGAGAGCAGCTTAGCAACCTGTAGAGCAGAACCTGTCCTGGCATGTTGTGATTGAGAGGAAGGAAGTATAGGTGCATTCTTGAGGGTTCCAGGGGTCTGCTTCCTCCAGCTCATCAGAACTGAAGCCAAAGTCACCACTGACTCCTGAACCTTGAGTTTTACCACAATCATCTTCTTGGTGGGGTGCATGTGACCCTGGCTGTGTCTCCTTTCTAGCTGGTCAGCATTGGCTCCTCATACAACTATGGAAATGAAGACCAGGCTGAGTTTCTTTGCGTTGTCTCCAAGGAGCTGCACAACACTCCATACGGCACGGCCAGTGAGCCCAGCGAGAAGGCCAAGGTGAGTGCTGAAGGATACTGCTCCCAGCCCTCCTTCCAGTAGGCACACTTTCAACAGGTTGTGCTTTGAACATGCTTCTTAGTGCTGCATCATTGTGTCCTGCTGTTCTTGCCAGGCTTATAGCTACTTGGCTCCGAGGGGGCTCAGGGTCACTGGCAGGACTGTGACCTTTTGGCCAAGCAGCTGGTCCTGTGACCAGATGTTGGTCTGTGCTTCCTCAGCACAGTTGAAGAGCTGTTCTTGCAAGTCCCCCAGACTTGTGTTGGTTCTGCCATTGTGCGTTGCTCTCATAGGAGACCCAGGGGCCCTCTGTTCCCAGTAGACAGGCCCTGTTATGGGAGCAGTGTCAGCCCCTAAGCTGGAGTGGGTTTCCAGCATCAGCAGCCACTTTAGCCATGTCCCATGATTCCTGTAGTATGTGGAGGAGACTGTCCCATAGTCCTCCTATTTTGGATTTTTATTTGTTTGTGAGACAAGGGTTTACTATGTAGTTTAAGCCTTAAGTTCACTGTATAGCCCAAGGTAGATTCTAACTTGCAGTGATTTTCTTGCCTCAGCATCCTAAGTGATAGGATTATAGTCATGCACTGCTGTACCCAGTGGTCCTGCTCTTTTGCTGTGGGGACCAAGCTCATTGTCTGTTAGGAGAGTGGTGGCAATACAGGGTTTGGCTTGCTTTGTTAGCTTTCCAATTAACCCCATGGCCTACCCACAAGATTGTTATGGTGGCCTTTCTTTTTCTTTCCTTCTTCCTTCTTTTTTTTAATATATTTGGTACAGGGTCTCACTGTAGTGATTCTCCTGTTGTTAGCCTCCCCAACACTGGGATTACAGGCATGCACCATCACGCCATGTCTTTGTGGCCAGCTCAGTGCACCTAGGGGCGGGTCCAGTGTGGCAGGTGGTTCTGGGATCAAACCCCAGTCCCTGCGCTTGCCTAAGTGGGGACTTAGTCCACTGAGCTATCTGGTATGGTGGCATTTCAACTGACATGTTTTTCCAGTAAGGCCCTTGGGTGAACAGATGCACTGGTCCCCCTGACCTTGGGCTCCCAGAGAGATACTCAGATGGTAGAGCTGTATAGTGGCTAGAGAGCTCTGCAGCTAGCTGTGGGTCACCCAAAAGTGTATAGTGGGAATTGGCTTAGCCAAGGCTCTGGGCAGCTGGCTTGGCCTGAGTCATGGGCCCACAATAAACTGGTGAGGGCCACAGTGTTTTGTGAATGCTGAGTGGAGCAAGCAGAGGCCACACTTGGATCTTGGAGGCTTGATCTTGCCTCCTCTCCCTTCCCCTCCCCTCCCTCCCCTCCCCTCCTCTCCTCCCCTCTTCTCCTCCCCTCTCCCCTTCTCTGAGCTAGGTATTAAGCCCAGGGCCTTGTGCTCTGGAATATTCTGCTATTGAGCTACATCTCCACCTAAGCGCTCTCGCTCTCTCTCTCTCTCTCTCTCTCTCTCTCTCTCTCTCTCTCTCTCTCTCTGTGTGTGACTATGGAGTGATGCTAGGGAGTGTTGAGCTACAACCCCAGCTTGTTTGTTTTTTCGTTTTTAGTTTTGGAGACAGGGTCTTAGAATGTAGTTCAGGCTACCTTGGAACTCACTGTGTGACCCAGGCTGGCTTCAAACTTGCAATGATCCTCCTGCCTCAGCCTCCCAAGTGCTGAGGTTGTAGGCATGTGCTACCACACCCTGCCACACCTCCTTTTTTTTTTGGCTGGCTCAGGCTGCCTTCAGGGCAGGTCTGGTATTACAGCTCCTTTTTTAATTTTAGGACAGTCTCACTAAAATGCCCAGACTGTCCTTGAAATTGCCATATTCCTGCTTCAGGTTCCCAAATAGCTAAGATTACAGGTGTGGGTTATCACACACCCAGCCAGGTTTTAACCAGGGACTCCATGGCAAACAGATCCTTGGCCAGTAGCCACCTATCCAAATCCCTTTAAGCCTTTTGTGACCTTTGGGGTAGAAGCTTGGAAACTGATGGGCAGAGTCACTCTTTGTTCCAGGTCATGCTGTGGCAGCATCTTACTACTGTGAAGTTGTGTGTGTGTGTGTGTGTGTGTGTGTGTGTGTGTTAGACTGATGGTGTGGCCTCAGCCTCTTGTACCCTGCCTCTGGCCTTCTGTCTCACTGGCCTTTCTTCCACTGCCACCTTGAAACTCAGGATGGTTTAAAGATGGGCATGTCCCACAGTGCTCCGCAGCAAATTGGGAAAGCTGGGATCTCATGCCAGATCCCTGGCCAGGCTGGGATCCACCTGCCCTTCACCTCCCTGAGAGACCCTGAGCTGAGTTGAGGGGAAACACCACTTTCTGTCTTTGAGCAGTGACGAGACTCTTTTATAAATTGTTTTATTTTTAGAAGCTTTTATTTCTGCATTTACAGTTTTCATAACACAGCTCACCAGGGCCCATTTCCTCCAGTGGCTTGTCAGCTGCAGAATGGAGACATTCTGTGCTGTGAGGAAATGCCAGCACGACCCCAAGTCCCTTTGCTGTTGGAAGTGTGGCCTTGTTTCTTTCTCCAAAAATATCTGGCCCTGAAGTGGGGCAGCCTCGCCAGCTTCTAAGTGGGGCAGAGGCAGTTTGGAGGGAACTGAGGCAGGATCTGGAATCTCTGGAAGCCATGCAAAGTCATGGGGCCAGATCTGGAGAGCAGTGATTTGGCAGTACCCTCCACACAGGCTGCCCACAGTTCTGAGAGCAGAAAGTCACCTCAGGGCCTGTGTCTGTTGACTGAGGCCAGTAGCTGCCCTGTTCACACTGAACCTTGTACATTGGTGCCTTCTTTAACATTTGTGCCAAATGAGAGCAAGAGGGATTATCTCCAAGAGGGACTACCTTGGTCTCTAATACAGGAGGCAAATTTAGGATTAGCATACCACTCAGGTTTAAGAATTCCTTAGAGCACTCAGAATTCACCCAGAGTGGTTAGTCTCAGGGTCACCTTTGTCACAGAGGACTTCAACTACAGAAGACACTTGGAGACATAGGAGCCTCTCCAAGAAGTTCCATATATATGTAGCACTGTCAACTAGAGAAATCCTACGTCTCAGGTCTAGCATGTTTCTGGGGCTCCATTCTACCAGATGACTGATTGGAAGATTGATTAGTCATTGCTCCTCCCTTTGTCAGTCAGCAGTGTGGTTCCTGGTCCTTGGTAGACAAAGGACCTCCTGTTAGTCAGAATGTTCCAGGAGCCAAGGCCACCAAAATGGCCTCCTTTAGGACAGGACCTACATGGGTATTGCAGGGCAGGTACTCTCTGTATGTCTTCTTCTCCTCCTTGCTGCATGCTGCCTGCCATTACCAGAGTAACAATGAAGAGAAGGGGCATCAAGACCATGATTCAGATTAAGTTTAAATGTCATGGTGAGCTCTGTAGCCCTTCAGATTGACCTGTCAGTGTAGTCTCCTTGACCTCACAACCTCAGTTGACCCTTTGCCTCCAACCCCTCTTCCATGTGCCTATCCCCTGCTATAGTTGACAGAAATCTGATAGATGTGCAGTAGATCACAGTAGGGTTGCTTGTAGGGAACTGGGTTGACCTTTGGACATTGGGCATGGCTCTGTTAGTGTCTGCTGCACTGGGACTTCATAGCACAAGGATTGGGGTGTTTGCTGAGAGAACCATTTGTCAGGCCAGACATGAATGTTCAGTGTGGATACGGAGGCACCTGGGCTTGGCAGTGATGCCCACTCCAGGTGTCAGCCCCTGAGGGGCAGCCTTCCTGTTTTTCATGAGACCTGTCTTGGATGCTCAAGCCTCCTTGGCCTGAAACACTGCTGCCATGTTCCAGGGTGGTGATCACATCTGCCTGAGCTTGGACAGCTCCTCAGCCTTCCCTACTTCAGGCTTTTCTCACCTTCCATATCTTATAGGCCAGACTGTGTCAAATTTGGCTGTTTTATCATTTTAGCAGGGATCACCTGGTGGCTCCCTGACACTTGAGGAGGGAAGTACAGGAAGCAGACCAGGAGTGAGGCCAACCCACCTCTGTGTTTGTCCTGCAAACTGGAATATGGAAATCCTCACCATATTGCCTGGGACCAACCAGTAGTCTGGGAGCATAATGGCACTTGGCCAAGCAGTGTCTCAGGGCCTGAAGGCCCAGCAAGGGATGGTCTAGTCTGAGGGCCAGTGCCTGTGTGTGCAGCCCCCAAGTTAAGAAGTATCTGTTTCTGTTAAGTGATTATAAATGCCTACACAGTAGCCTTAGTTTTGCCTCTTGAGCCTCAAAGCAAAAAATACTTATCTGGTCCTTTAAGATAAAATAAAGATATATTAAATTTATGCCAATTATATTAATGTAATACATGCAAAATAAATTTCTTTTTTAATATGGGGTCTTTTCATGCTGTCCAAGAAGGAGCTGAACTTGTGGGCTTAGGTGATCTTCACACCTCAGCCTCCTAAAAAGCTGGGGATACAGAATGTGCCACCATACCCACCCAACTCAAACGTTGTCATTTAGTTGTCATAGTGGTACATGCCTGTAATCTAGTAGTCTGGGTGACTGAAATAGTAGGATCACAAGTTTGAGCCCAGCCTGGGCAATTCAGCAACTTAAAGTTTTAAGCCTTATCCAAAAAAAAAAAAAAAAAAAAAGGATGTAGCTCAGTGTACAGGTTCTCAGACTTAATCCGTAGTACTGGGAAAACAGCACTGAGTTTTTTGTTCGTTTGTTTTTTTAATATATTTAGTACAAGGTCTCACTGTGTAGCTCAGACTCGTAGTGATCCTCCCATGTTCAGCCTCCCAAGTGCTGGGACTACAGGTGCACGCCACCACACCCAGTCTCAATGGCAGTCTCACCTCGCCCAGGGGGTGGGGCCAACACGGTATGCGTAAGCAGGCGCTTTATTTCACTGAGCTATCTGGGTGGCCCTAAAAAGCACTGGGATGGAGGGAAAGAGGGAAGAATGGAGGGAGGGATGGATGGATGGATAGCTAGCTAGCTTGATAGCTTGACTGATTTTTGCCCTTTTTCAATCTGTGTCTGCAAAATGAGGTGTGTGGCTTTGTTATGAACAAAGGAGTGTGGCTTTGTTCCTCAATGGGAACATCCCGTTGAGGAGCTCAATAACTATGTGAGCAGCAGTGTCTCAGCTATACCTTGCCATGGGGGAAAACTGTGACAGGCACTAGCTCAAGGTGTTGTGGGATCCACAGGAACACAAGGGAGCTACACCTATACACAGATTGGCTGGAGGCGAGTTGCCTGGAAGATCCTGGGGACTTGGGGGCTAGCAGGGATCCTGAGGGTGAAGGAGCTTTTTTAAGGCCGCTCCCTTCCCAGTTTAACCCCTAAATCTGCCTCTGCTCCAGAGGTCTGGGCTATAGGAAGATGGCAGGGCTGCCCGTGAGAAGAGCCCTGGGGCAGTCTACATATCTAAGCCTGCCTCTTAGACTGCCCTGGTTCCAGCTTCCTGGGTACTCTAGCTAGTCTTTGTCTCTCGTCTGGGGCCTCTTTGGAGGAGGTGGTCCTGGTGGGAGTGTGCCAAAGGCAGGGTCCCTCTCCAGGGTAGTACTGTTACAGGCCCTGAGAAATTGTCAGGCCACCAGTCCTATCCCATTGCTTTGCTCAGCTCAAGGAGGGTTGCACTGCTTGATTGGGGGAAGTGCCCCTTCAAAGCACAGAGCCATTGAGGGACCAACCTGGGGACAAGTGGAATGTTTGGGGTTTCTGGAGAGCTGGGAACCCAGCAATTGGACCTGGCCTTTGAGTATCCTGAGAGGGCATTTGTTCCACTGCTGTAGGGGGTAGGGTAGAGATGCTCACAAAGGGGGACTAGGTGCTTCTGGACCCTCCCGCAGGAGTTACCAGCCCTAAAGAATCCTGCCTTGGAATTAGATTCGTCCACTGTCCTCCTGGCTCTCTGGCCTCCTATAGGCCAATTTTGTGGGTTTGGCTTAGCAGTATTTGCCAGGGCCCCAGGATGTAATGGGGCTTCCGAACTCCCAGCTAACTTGGTCCTGCACAGCTGGCTATACCTGTCAGCAAGGGAGGCTGAGCAGTGCCATGTAGTCAGACTTCAAGAGGGAAAGACTGGGTATAGCAGCAGGGAAAAGCAGGCCCTGCCTGACTGCAGAAACTGACATGGAGGGCATGGCCCAGGGCGACCCACACTTGGGAAGGTTTCCTAAGGTCAGGTGGATGTCTTGAGTTACTTCCAGGATATAGGGGTGGAGTTGGGGGTATGGGCAGACCTAACGTGGACTGTAATGTGAGGGTGTGGACTGGTCCAACAGAGGAGGAGTGATAGAGAATATAAAGGTCCACTGGCTAAGCAAAGGCAGCTGTGTAGCAGCAGAGGCCCACATGCCTGCAGCTGGGCCTCTGTTCCACAATACTGGTCCCTTGGAGCCATGAGCAGTAATCCTTTTGCCACCTACAGGTCTGCTGGTTCTGGTCTCTGGGGCAGAGCTTTCAGCCAGGCCTGAGTTCTCAATTTTCTGCACTTGCTGTTTTTCAGATTTTACAAGAACGGGGCTCAAGGATGTGAGGACAGTCTTGACAGCTGAAGAAATGATTTACCTTTTCCCAAGATACAGTGAACTGCCATGTCCAGGAAGCTTGGCTGTGAGAAGAAACCTGCTTTTGATCATTTCTTTAGAGATCTGGGTGTGGATCCTTTTTTGCTTTGGAGGTGGGTGGTGAGAGACAGCCCAGCTGTCAAAGACAAGCCATGCCCATGGGTAGAGGGTGGGCTGTCTCTGGGGGGCCTGCTCTTCTTTTCAAATGTCATGTGGGACTGAGACAGGATGTTCCTGACCAGCCATGCAATCCTGAAGGTTATTTCAAGGGCAGGGCTTTTGGTGCTACATACACAGTCTGCGATAAGTGACCCAGACCTCAATGGGAAGAAGGGACAACAGCTCTACTGACTGTCCAGCACACCATGGCTTGGGGTCTGGGTGCCTGCTAGCCACTCTGTGCATCAGGCTCTCAACTTCAGGCCAGGGAGGCTGCTCTGCCTCTGGTGTGATCAATTGGCGGTTTCTTTTGACCTCGGCTAAGGCTGCCAACAGAGGTAGCCTCCACATTGCTACTACTTCCCGGGCACCTGCTCTGAGGCCAGGCCTCCTTTTAGGCCAGGCTTTCCTCCTGGCTTTGTTGGCTGGACAGTTGATGCTTCTCAATTTGTATTTCCCAGGCAAGAGAAGTTTGTAACCCTTTTTTAAGTGTGGATAGACTACCTAATGTTTATACTTTTCAGAAATGCCTAAAAGTGTTGCTAGGTTTTGGCTTGGTCTGTTAAACCAGTTAATGGGAAATGGAAATTTTGCCTCGTCCATCCCACTTGGTGGCTCATGGGGAGCTGGTGCCCACCAGTGCCTTTGTTGCGCCCGGGATGGAAGCTGGGGCGGGAGCCCATGCACCTGGCTTCTAGAGCTGACACTCTGGGTCACATTGAAGCTCGGGATGTTTACAGTGCATCACATATCTGTCTGTGTCTCTCTTTCTCTTTTTCTCTGGCTCTCATTTTCTGTATAACTATGCAGTTCTTCTCTGATGTTTCTGGTGTGTTTTGAAACTATATGACCTGCACAGCTCCACCTACCTGACGTGACTTGGACCCTACTGCTCGCCTGCTTTGAAACAGACCTTTCTCAGCTGGCTGTAGGGACATGTCTGCCTGGGGACGTGATCCAAACAAGCAAGCTCTGCTTTCGACTTCTGGTTTCCCAAGGGAGCTATGCAAACTGACTACAGGGGCTGCCCACCTGCAGCCTCGAGGCTCTGACACTGGCTCATTTCAGATGTTCCTGGAAATCTCTTGCCTAGTCCCTCCCCTTTCTCCTTTGCCAATAACCTGATTAACCAAGTTTTCCAGCAACTAGGACTTACCTCCTTTCATAAAGTCTCTTGTATGTTGTTAAATGTTTGGCTTAAAAGAATTCATGAAAACATTTTTATAGGGCAGGAGTAGCCACTGGCTGACCCAGCTAAAGGTGGCCCCACTGTTGGCTGTGGGGACATATTCTGGGGAGCTACCGGGCACTTACATTATTTGATTTATGACCTTGACTTACAATAGATAGGCTTTTCTTTTTTTAATTTAAAAATATTGACTTCACAAAAGTTTATTCTAAGGGGGTATTTATACTTTTATACTTTTTTAGGTATCCGTATTTTATCAGCTTACTGTTTAATGTCTAAGTTTCCCCTGGTATTAGCAAATAAAACTGTGTATTTATGAATGAGCCCAGCAGCTGTTAGTGTCTTAAAATACATGGAGAAGCTGCAGCTGGAATCATGGTTCAACTGCTCGAGCCAAGATACCCCCGACAGGACTCTGGTTTCAGCTTCAGAAGTCCAATATAGCTGGGTGTAGCTAAGGAACCCATTGTGCCCTGAAAGATTCAGCTCTCTGTTTGTCTGCTGCTACCAGTCAGTCCTATTTCTAAGCACATGACCAGCCTACCCAGGGCTTTGGCATGGACTGTCCTACCTTCCCATTGTAAGGTATGGGTTAGGGTCTGCTTGTATGGGGACAGGGTATGGGCTTTTGGGTGTCGTTAATGAGTGCGTACATAGGGGAGGGGTTTAAATTCTGCCTTAAGAGGTTTTCTGGTGGCAGCTAGGACCTGGTTGTGCCCTCTGGCCTCTTGGTCTCATACAGCTCTGGGTGCTCAGAAGAGCCTCTGTGTGGTCATGTCCTTGGTCAGAGCTCAGAGCATGTCCCATCAGAGCTGAAGGCTACAAAGGAGACAGGCCAGAGCCCTTGGCAGAAGAGGCACCCTGTCCTCCTAAAGGCAGACCTGTCTGCCATGGAGTGTCTGTAGAGGGCCAAGGGCCAAGGGCCAGTTCTGGCCCCTTCAGAAGTCCAGCAGAGCTGGGCATAATGGCACACACCTGTAATCCCAGCATTCAGGAGGCTGAAGCAGAAAGATTACTGTGAGTTCAAGGCCAGTCTGGGCTACATGGTGTGTTCGAGGCTGACCTTAACTACCTAGTGAGACCCTGTCTCAACAGTAAATAAATACATAAATAAATAAATAAATAAATAAATAAATAAATAAATAGAAAAATAGAAAAATAGGAAAAAAAGAAATCCAGAAAAAAGCAGGAGAGAGGCAAGGTTGAGATGTGGGTCCTCAATGGCTGGCCTTCTGGTTCAAGCCTGGGGCCTTCTAGGACTATGGGAGCAAGAACCATAGGTTGGCTAGTATCCTGAAGCCTGCCATGGGGCTAACGTCCCAGTATTGCCACCTGGGGTCAGGTGTGGGGGTCTCTAGCATTGGGGGACCCCCTTGGTTTTCGCCTTTTGCATCTCCTACCTGCCCACCTTTGGAGCACAAGAGGTGATGTCTGGCAGGGTCATTTTGCCCTCAGATCATCTGGCCCCACACCTGTTCCTGGGCCTGAGCTGACTCTCACCAGGAGTCTTGAGGCTAGCAAGGGCTCATGGCATCATTTTCCTTCCTGTGACTTCATAGGCTGATTGTGGTACCTATGGAGGGAGGGAGGGAGGGAGGGAGGGAGAGAAAGAGAGCAAGAGAGAGAGACATGTGCTTGTGTACATGCATTCATAGATGTGGGACAGCACACATATGGCTGTTCTGGTACCACCTGCCCCCGCTGAGGGTGGTTGAAGTGGCCTTCCACGTTGTCTTGTGTGAAGGAAGGCTCCAGCCCAGGCACTCCACCTGGCTGCCTTGTCCATGCCAGCAGCTCCCTTTAATGTTCTTACAGCTGACAGCCCTGATGGCAGATCCCTGGTAACTGCCTGGCAGATTTATGGAGAGTTCTGAGTTGTGCCCTGACTCCAGGGTGCAGAAGGGAGCCTGCGGCATCCTGAGCGCTTCTCTTCTACAATCTTCTCATAATACTGAGCTTGGTATAAGCTGTGAATTGCATGGAATAAACTTGTTTTCCTTTTCAACTTCTGGTTCTATGGAGAGTTTTCCCTACCTCTTGTGGACAGCTGCCCATGGAATCTTAGCTGGTGTCGGCTAGCGGATCACAGGGGAGCAGGTGGGACATGAAACTGCCTCCTCTAACGGCCTCAACCCTACCACAGCCAGGGCTGCACACATAGCCCACAGCAGTGCCCAGTCGTCTGGGCCTATCTTAGACTCCACAGCCTACCCTGCCCTGCTGTTTGTGTGCCAGGACACCTGCCTCCTAGTGGATAGATGAGTAAGCCCTCCAACCAGAGACCAATCCTAGTCTGGAGCAGGAATTCGGCATATAGCCTGTCCACTTAGGTCACCAAGTGCCTAGTAGGCAGTCATGGCTGAGCCCAGGCAAAGTGGAGCCCAGGGAGATTTCTGATGTTACACACACACACACACACACACACACACACACACACACACACACTGTTTGTAGGCTGGGCTATAGCCGGTGCTTGCTAAGTGGTCATCAGTTTCATACATAACAGTGTCCCTTCTCAGCCTTAGGCAGGTAAGCAATGCCTTTTTGTGCACATGAGCATGTGTGTAGATATGGCTGTACACAGTCGTACATATCTACCCATTTTAGCTTCAGACTGAGTGGGAAGGTCAGGGCTAAGGGATGGGGTGATGGAAAAGGGATCTTGAGGTCAAGGGGAGAATGGAGAACAGGCCTGGGCTAGCTCTGGTGGAGAACTGAGCAGTGCAGTGGAGGGTCAGAAAACACAGACTGGACATGCTCCCGGGTGACATCGCTGTTTAGAGAAGTCTGGCAGGGATTCTGGAGGAAAACTAGGGGGTATGGGCCATGATTCCCCGAGGATACCCTCTTTCCCCTCCTGAGTGCCCTCTCTCCTTATTAGCATAGCTCCTGCAGTGGTATTGGCTATCTGTGATAAACCGTGTGCCTGTGTCTGTCCCTGTCCACAGTGTCTGGCCCAGGCAGCCTTTAGCAGAAGATGAAGGTAGGAAAACTGGAGGTATAAAGTGGCATCAGGTTAGACTCCTGTAAGGAAGTCTGGGAAAGTGTTATTGGGACCCAGTGATGTATTAGGCTGGGATCCCGCAGTGTCCCATCCTACCAGGAACCAAGTCCTCTAAATCTCCCGTATATCAACTCCCCACCCCCACACCCATACTCTGTAGACTTTTGACCTGGATAGTTGGCACTAATTTTATTGGAAGTAAACAAAAATATCTTGGCATTTGAGATTGGGGAGGATAGAAAGCTATTTACACATGTGAACCATAGGTGGCATGTGGCCTGGTAGTGTGAACTTACAGGACAGTGAACAGCACCCTAAGGACCAACAGGGCCACATGGACAACTTGGCAGGGTGTTGAACTCTCACTAAGGCACTGATGGTCACAGGGTTCTGACTAGTGGCCATCTGTTCTTCCAGACTGGAATTTCAGCTCAGGGATGATACGGTGGATCCAGTTGTGGTGTGAGGTGACCCGGATGTAGACGCCAGGGCGGTTCCGGCGGGCACAGCCCTCACCCCAGCTGATGATACCAGCCTGCACCCATGTCTGGTTCACGAAGCACACGAGGGGGCCCCCAGAGTCACCCTGTGGGAGAAGTAGAGTACTGTGGTAGTAAGAGCCTACCCAATGCCACCAAGTTTTAGGATACCTGACACTGGCTCTAACCCTCAGCCTCCACCCTTGGTTCCTCTTTTCCTTACTAAGGTACCCCAGGTTCCCTGCTTGTCCATGGGTGGGTGTCAAAATGCAGCTTCCCCAGTCCCATGGACCAACTCGTGAGGAAGGGTCCAAAACTTTTTTTTTTTTTTTTTTACCAGTAAGTTTCCTGGCTGATGGAACTCTGCACTGCTCTGTGCCCTGGGCCTGGAGGCCTATCAGGCAGGGTCCTGCTCTAGTTCCCTCCCACTCTACCTTGCAGGCATCCTTCTTGCCCTCAGCAAAGCCTGCACAGAGCATGTCGTCCTTGATGGCTTTGGGCTGGAAGCCGGACTCTGTATCTGTGCTGTAGAGTAGGTTGCACTTGGGTGTGTCAATGATGGGGACAGCAAGTTTCTGCAGGATCCGAGGGCTGGGCAGGTGGTCTAGGAGTAGGCAGGCATGAGGGCAATCTTTAGCAGTGACCTGGGGCCCTGGATTCCTAGAACCACAATGCGGTCTGTCCCCACCCAGGCTTCCTCCATTGTGTTTAGCTCTCATGGGGCAGAGTTATCTCCACCCTATGTTTTGAACAGATCTCATCTAACTGTATCAACAGAAAAACTGTTGGTTCAGAGTAGCCCCCAGGCTCCTCTGGTCCTTTTCCAGACCCATATCCCGCTTCTCCCTGGGCTCTGCCTCCTTACCTTGCTCACTGGGGCTTCCCCAGCCAGTAACCCAGCACTTCATGTCCGTCCCAAAAATGACTGAGGGGTCAGGCATGCACACAGGGAGAATGTAGTTGGTGAAGGTCACTGGTGCCTCCAACTCCACCAGGGCCACGTCTGCACTGGAGGCCATGCCCTGGTACAGGGGGTTGCTCTCTACTCGTTTCACACGGGCATAGATGGAGTGTGCCCCTGGCTGCAGCAGTTGCCGTGCCCCCAGTAACACCCGGTACAGGGAAGTTTCAGAGGTGCTGAAGGGAGAGCATAGAGGCCTAGTGTGGGCTACCCAGTCTTGAGAAGGTGATGAAGGGCAGGGAGGCTGTTGTGTGCCTCTGGCCCACTACATTTGCTGATGCATCTCTGCATATCATATTTAAAACCATCTTCAGGGGGCATTCTGTAAGGTTGGGGTATAGAAGCTGCAGTGAGATCACAAACCTTTAATCTCCAGCTCTGTCCTGGGCCACCACATAACCTTGGACAAGTCACCTAACAAGTCTTTTATAACTCAAGTTTCCTTGTCTGTAAGGTGGGGACAGTGACTCCTACCAGAAATGCCTGCTTTGAGAGTTGAAGGAGATAGCCACCCACAGATTCCATGGGGTCCAGCCCTGCTCTGGAGCCTGGGGCAGCCACCTACTCTGAGGGTGTGGAGTAGAAGGTGTAGGTTTTTAGGAGAATCACAGAACTGCAGTGAGTTGAAAGGTGAGAAGCATGGGAACCCCAGAAGTTTGTGGTCAGGTGGCTCATAACAGTGGTCAGGACTGAGTGCCTGGCCACTTTTAGGGGATTATGAGGGAACCCGAAGGGAGGGGGAAGAGATGTTCTTATCTGTGGTTTATCTGATACCAGAGTCCCAGAAAGGGTTCTTGACTCAAAGGGTTGGAGGAGGGGGATGGAAAGAGAGCCAGAGTGTGTGGGAACCCTAGAGCATTTGCAGGGCCAGGGGTAGAACAGTGCCTCATTGGCAAGTTGGCTGCGGGGAGCCAGGGCTTGGGCAGCAATTGAAGCTGCATGTTAGGTTAGTTCTGGGCTTGGGCCTTGAGGAAACTTGCAGCTGGAAAAGTAGCCAGATGCAGGACTAGGCTGCCAGGGCCCACAGGGACACATAGGTCTGCAGCAGGTTGGATGCTGTCCGTGGTGCTAAACCAGCTGGGCACCAGGCTTTGTCTTGTCCCCGCTGGGAGGGGCAGTCACGGGTGGACACATAGGGTACTAGGCTCACTCACTTGGAGAAGCAGTGCGCTGCGGTGAGCACCCACTGCTCTGTGATGAGGCTGCCCCCACAGAAGTGGCTTCCGTTGCGCTGGATGCTAACCTGCCAGGGCCATTCACCCTCCTTGGCATCCTGCCCGCCCACCATCCGGTTCAGCATCCTCCGGTGCCCGCAGACTAGAGGAACATGGTGAAATTACTGGGAGCTAATTCCATGGTTTTGACTCCAGCCCCAGTCCCATATGCCAGCTTCCACTTCAAACCCAGTTTCTGGCCTTCCCGGCCCTTGACCTGCTCATGAACCTCAGGAGTCATGCCTTCCCCATCCCCACATGAGTCCCGGTCCTTGACAGGAAAGAGGTGCCATAGGACCTTTCTTTCCAGCTTTTGGGGATTGAGGCAACAAATGGAAATGCCTCCTTGCAGGACCTGACATACAGGTCTGAGAGGATAGCTGGTGAGTTTGCTTTCACAAAATAGGTAGCCCAAGAATCTCCTGCCACCAAGAGAATCTCTGACTTTGTGGTTCCCTGATACCCTGTACCACCACCCTTCTGGGATTTGTTCCATGTGTGATGCCTCAGCCATCCTACAGCTCAGTCACACTCACCTACTGGTACCTTGGCCCCTTGGATCCCTGCAAGTGAAGAAAAGGACTCATCAGCCTACTTTGCCAAAGCCAAGGTCCATTCCACCCTTCACCCAGCTGCCTGGTCAGCACCCTGTTCTTCCCTCCCCCCCACCCAATCTCCCTGCCTCTGGAAACTCAGAGAGACAGGCATCTGGGAAGAGAGATCAAGAACCCTCAGTTTCTCTCAGGCCTGGCCTGTGGGCAAAGCTTATCTGGAAAGGAATGAACAGGTCACATGTAGTATTGACCAGAAGAGTCAGAGCCCCAGAGTCCCAGGACTCTTTTTTTTTAAAGCCAGAACTGAGCTCTACTTCAGGCAAAGACTCCCTACTGTTCTCAGACCTGCTGCTCAATCTTCACTGCAGCCCCAGAAGCTCCACTTCAGGCTCAGAACTCAGTCAGGAGGCCCCCTCAAGAGAAACCTCTCTGCCCCACCCTTCCTGTCACCTGTTCCTTGTGGTGAGTCCAGCAGAACTGGAGAGGACAGCCAGGTCTCCCTATGCCCCAAAGGGAGGGGCCAGAAAAAGTAACCTAGGGTGCTGATGGGCTGCAGGGAACAAGAAGCGGCCTCAGCCAGACATGGCTTAGGGTACCTGAGGATCCTGGAGGTGTTATGGTACTTCATTCTTCCTGTCAGGTTCCCTACCTTTAGTCCTCATTGCCACTAGAGGACAGGGAGGTGGGTGCTGGACAGAGCACCAAGAGGAGCCTGAGAAGGCTCAGCAGGCCTAGCTGCTTCTCAAAGTAGGAATGTCAAGCACAGTGGGGTCAAGTGTGATGCTGGCCCAGGTGGGCAACAAAAAGCAATCAACTTGTGTTCATAGTGTGGTCTTTAAATGCCACAGGAGGGTTATCCCAGTATCTTGCTATAGCATCCTTTGACATTGGTTCTGCCCCTGTTGAGGTTTCTGCTTGAAAATGCTGCTTCCAGCCCATCCACACTTTGTCCTCATTGACACTAACATACTTTGAGCCTCTCTGTCCCTCCTTTTGGTTTTCCCTGCCTCAGATTTCCCACAGCAGCCCCCTCCCTCTTATGTCCATCTACCCCACTACAGCGCAGCTGCTTATCACTTAGGCTGATTCTCCTGGCCTCTCCAGGTTCTGATGCAGATCAAAGCTTCATTGAAGTCCTGCCTTCTCCAGGAAGCTCTCCTTGCTTGTACTGACCATCTTGGAAGCCTCAGTCCCTCCCCTGAGCTCCTTGTCTTTCCACTAGGCATCACATCTCACCCCTGGGTTCAGGCCTAAGAGCCCTGGGAAGGCAGAGCTTATAGGTGCCATCCCTAGCTTAGGGAATGTGTGGAGGAACAGACTACTGTGGAGACTGAGCAGGAGAGCTAGGCTTTCATGGGGTGGGTATCCTGCTAGGCTGGAGGGCACAGGGTGTCAGATCCCCATTCTGGGCCCAGGACCTCTGGTGTCCCTGTAGCTGATCAAAACCCTTGGGGTGCTGGAAACAAGAGCTGGCAAGGACAGCATCTGGGATTCAGCCAAATGCAGCTGCAGTGCCCACTCTGGCAATGGCCTTGATTGCTCAACCTGCTGGAACAATTGAAGCATTACACCCTATGGAAATGGGTTCACTTAAAAGATGCTGTTACCTGCCACTGCATTAGGTCTGTCTGGGAAGGCTGGTCAGTGTGACTGGGGAGATTGGGGCCTCCCCTCAGAGGGACACCCTAGTGTCCCCCAAGCATGAAGAACCTGGAGTCCTGGCTCAGGTGTAGTCTTTGCTGACCTCGCCTGGCCCTAGAAGGTGACCTGAGGACAAGGAAGTGTGGCTGCTGGTCTGGTCTGGCTGGCCTAGGAATGTGGAAGAGTTTTCCTGGCAGAGAGAGGCCCTCCTGTGGGAAGGGCCTGTCAGGTGGGGCACTGGCTGGACCCTGCTGACCCTGGCTGTGAATGGAAGTATGCTTTCTGCTTGTCTATCCACAGGGGAGTGGGACTCCAGCTTACATCCCCTCTTGCTGTCCAGCCGTTCACTGAGCCCCAGCCTTCTTCCAAAGGCTGTAGGCTTAGAGGGCAGCCCCTGCTCTGTTCTGCTTCTGAATCAGCTATAGTGGTATGGGGACTTGAGCCCAGGAGGCCAAACTTCAAATCCTGCACACACAGAGCTCTTCATCTTTTGAGTGGGGGAGCCTCAAGTACAGAGCCAGGCACACTATTGGTGGCTGGGAGTGTGGATGAGGCCCCCACCTGGTTGCTGCCATGGGATCCACTCTGACCTAAACCTGCCTCAAGACCCCCAGGTGAAACATCTGTAGTGTGCCTGCATGCCCTAGGCTCTTTACCACTAGGACAGGAAGTGGTAGCTGAGCTGGGACTTCTGGCAGGAGAGGAGACCCTCCAGGGAGACCAGGGACTCTGGAACTCACCAGGCCTCAGCAGTAAGAAGAGCAGGAGCAGCAGGAGGGGTGTGGGGGCCAGGTGTCGCCTCATGTCCTCAAGCTGGCAAAGCAGGGCCAGGGTCAGTGGTGGTGGAGGGAGCTCCTGGCACTTGTGAGGCACTGGGTTCCATGAAGTGGGGTTTTATGCTGGAGGTGAGTGTTGGCTGGGCTATGCCACCCAACCTGTTGGCCTGCTCCACCCAGTTCTGCTCTAGAAGGAAGGAGGCACTCTAAACCCCAACTCTTTGACCTGGTCCTGAACCTTACAGGCCAGACCCCTCACCCCAGCACACCTGCTCCATCCAGGAGCTTATGGCTGGCAGTTCCTCACCATGAGCTGAACACAGATACCCACTAGCAGGCCCAGATCCCCCTCAGCTGCCACAGGCCCCACATGAGCTGGCCAGGTCCACCCAGGAGACATTGCCTGCTTCATTTATTCATTTGTTCACTGAATACTTACTAAGAACCTACTGTGTATGTGGCTTCAGAGAGTCATTCAGAACTTACATCTGATAGGAGGGCAAGCTCAGGAGAATGAGGACTAGGGTAAGGGACCTGGGCTGATCATTGCCCCTTACCACAAATCATCGCAGGAAGTGGACCCAACTGCCCCCACCCAGTGTGCCAACCCTGGCCCAACTGCACCTGCTGTAGGCCAGGTGGGCAGGATGCAAGCTGGTTCTGGGAAGGTGACTGATGACCAACCCAGTGTCTGTCCTGTCTGCCCTGGGCACTCCCTGGGCTTTTGGATGCAGCCACGGTGGAAGGAAAGTATTTGGGGCGTGGGGCTGACATCAGAGCTGGAGTTACGGCTTAGGTGGTGGCTGCTCCCACTCACTGCACCATGTGGGGTGGCAGACAACAGGCCTAACTGCAGACTGCCTCAGTTTCCCCACACTGGGTCAGTGTAGTCCTTACCCTGCCAGCCCCAGGTTCTCCTGCACTTCACAGCTGCCTGTCCCAGAAGCTACATGACCATACTCTCTGGATGCTAGCCAGTCTTCACCTTCAGTCTGTCCATTCCTGTCCCCGAGCCCCTGGTGGCACAAATGCTGAGCTGCCTTTGCGGGCAGGCAGGAGGACTCCACATTCATTAATTTACTCCACAATACTTTGGAATCATACTGGTTGGTGCCCAGGTCTACTAAGTATGAGGGACAGAGCAGTTACCAGAAGACTCTCAGGGACAAGGAGCCACTTAGTGGGAAAGAGGGTCTTATTTACACAGACAAGTCTTTTGGAACATCCAGGTGGGTGGCCACACTCTCCAGACATCCAGTTATCAATTTCCTAATCTCAGAGGTAGTTTCAAAGGCTCTGCTCCAAGACTGAGGATGCTTGGGCCCTTGTCTTAGGTGTCCCTGTCCTCCTTCCTTGTTTACTTATTTTAACTTAGAAACAGGGTCTCACTATATAGCTCAGACTGGCCTTAAATTCTTGGTGATCCTCCTGCCTTGGCATCCTGAGTGCTGGGTCATAGCCATGTACCATTATGCCTTGCCTCTTCTCCTTTTAAAACCAGTTTTCCTTAAAATCATAAGCAAGCAACTGGAGGTGAGGATCCCAGGGAAAAGTAGACTTCCTAACAACCAAAAGCCAAGTCTCCAGCGATCTTCACCGCCACAGTCGGGCCTACTGACCCAAGGCAGCAGAGGGGTGGCAAGAGGAGCACGTGGAGCAGCAAGCTGGGCCTTCTACTGCCGACCAGGCAAAGGAGGGTCTGGAAGGATTCCAGTCACATCTCACCTAAAAATTAGTAGAACTGGACATGTACTAACTCTGGCTGGGAGTGTGTTTTCTAAGGTTAGAGTCTCAGTAGATATCACAAAGGAAAGAATGAACAAGGCTGGGCATAAGGAACCACGCCTATAATCCTAGCACTTGGGAGACTGAGGCAGGAGGCCTGCCATGCATTTGAGGCCAGCCTGGGCTACTTAGTAAGCTACATAGACAATGTCTCTCAAAACCAAACAAAAAAACCCAACTGTGGTGTATGTGTAAATTAAAAACTACAAGCAACATTGATTACAAGTAAAAAAGATAATAGGGAAAATACATGTAAAAATATGGCCAAATATGGATACCATTATTGTCTATAAAATGCTACAGAAATTGGTCAGAAAGCTGAACATAGTGTCATGCTTCTAATCCCAGCTAGTTGGGGGGCTTAGGGAGGAAGATTGTAAATTTGAGTCCAGTTTGGGCAATTTAGTGACCTATCAAGACCCTGTCTCAAAATAAAAAAGACTGGGGATATAACTTAGTGTGAAGACCCTGAGTTCAAACTGCAGTGCTGGGGTGGAGGGGGGGGTGGAAGAGGAAGAGGAGGAGGAGGAGGAGGAAGAGGAAAGAAGTTGAAGAAGGGAAAGAATAAAGAAATTGACTAATAAACTTGCTGAGAAATATTTAGCCTGTGTAATTAAATAAATGCAAATTGAAGCCATGGCAAGGTAATGGCTGTTTTTCCATCTGAGGTTAGTGCAGTGCTAGAGGAATGTTATTAGTCAGGGCCACCTGGAAATGGGGCAGCCGGTGGGCATGGAACTGACCCTTTCGTCCCTGTGTCCATTGCATCAAAGAGTTACTCTCTCAGGAGTAGTGACTTTGTCACTGCAAGTCTGTTCAGTCTTAGGTATAGAAAAAGTAATTTGAGAGCTGGTGAGATGGCTCAGTGGTCTAAAGCACCTACTTCGAACAAGCTTAGCAAAGCACAGGGACTGCGGTTCAATCCCCCAGGACCACATGCCAGCCAGCCACGGCCCCTGGTGGGCTGAGCTGCCCCCCCCATAAATAAATAAAAAGAAAAAGTAATTTGACCAAAGGTGTTAGTGACCAGTTTATATTTGCAACGCAAAATTTGCAGAATAATAGTAAATATATACTCCAGACAGAATATTATAAAAATGACATTGGGGCCAGGGAGATGGCTCAGTGGAATAAGCGCTTCCCTGGCAAGTGCAAGGGCCTGAGTTTAATCCCTGGTTCTGAAGAAAAAAAAAAAAATGACATTTTTAGCTGGCTGTAATGGAGATTCCTTTAATTCCAAATACTGATACCAATATTTTCTAAAGTGCCAAAGAAATTGATCAGAAAGTTAGGCATAGGGGTGCATGCCTCTAATCCCAGCTAATCAAGAGGTTAAGGCAGGAGAATTATAAGTTTGAGTCCTGCTTGTGCAATTTGGTGAGACCCTATCTCAAAAAAAAAAAAAAGAAAAGAAAAGAAAAGAAAAGAAAAACTGGGTGTAGTGGCACATGCCTGTAATCCTAGCGCTCGGGAGGCTGAGGCAGATGGATTGCTGTAAATTTGAGGCCACCCTGGGCCTCAAACAAAATGAGTTCAAGGCCAGCCTGAACTACATAGTGAGGCTGTTTATAAATAAATAAATATTTGTAGAAAGTGCAGTAACTATACAAAAATTTAAATTTTATAACAACAGCGAAAACATCCACAAGAAAAGACTGTAAAATGTTGAGCTGTGACCAATGGTTCTGAATCATGTAGATTTTTTTTTAAGAGCACCCAGGATAGGAAGTTGGCTTAGACTCATGGAGTACAGGGATATTCATGGTGGGGGTCCCTGGAACCTTTGCATGGTGCTCTAGGACTCAGAAGTGGAACTGATAGTCTCCTCATCCTGTAGGGCTCCTGATGCTCTCTAGCAGTGTCCTAAGCTCAGCTGTCTGAGGTGACCCCCTACACACATAGAGCCAGGGTCAGGGCTGCTGCTGGTGTCTTCCTCAAGGAATTCTGATTCAGAGGACAGAGTTTCCCAGCTTCTTATGCTTCAGCCCATTTGGTGTGGATGATACAGAGTGGAACATGCGCAGGCCCACCTGGACTCAGCCCTGTGGTTGAGCCATATGGCCACAGAGAAGAGGACAGGTGCAAGTAGGAGAACACTACCCTCTCAGGCAAGCATAATAATGAAATAAAGACATTTTTATGCAGGAAAGTTCTCAGAAACCTTACCCCCAACCCCCACACTACTCTTAGGAAGAAGCCATTGGAGGGAAGATAGTCTGCAACCAAAGGAAAAAATAAAATACAAAAAGACAATATAGACTGTAGGAAACGGACACCCAGGGTTGGCCTGATGGCACACATTTGCAATCCCAGCTATTTGGGAGGACTGAGGCAGGAGTATCATGGTCTCAAGGCCAACCCAGGCAACTTGCTGAGACCCTTGGGGTGGGGAGGAAGCTGAGCCAGTGTGGTGTCATAGCCCAGCACTCTTGAGAGCTTGAGGCAGGAGGATCTGCCAAAAGTCTATCCAACTGGGCATAGTGTGGCACACACCTGTAATCCCAGCACTTGGGAGGCTGAGGCAAGAGGATTGCTGTGAGTTTGAGGTCAGCCTGGACTACATAGTGAATTCAAGGTGAGCCCGAACACATGTGAGACTCTGTCTCAAGGAAAAATAAATAAATAAATAAGGTAGGGAATACAGCTCAGTGTGAAGGCCCTGAGTTTCATCTCTAATACTTTATCAAAAAAAAAAAAAAAAAGGAACAGCCTAGTGAGGCAAGTCCTCACCACAACGCTGAAGGGAGATTCCAGAATGATGACTGTGCTCTGGGTTTAGAGGACACCTGGCAGCCTTTGGACTCTGACTCAGGAATAGTACGCTGAGACTTTTAACCTGGTGAAGCTACTGAAGCATGTAAGATGAGGAGGAGAAATTTAAGGTCCAAACCAGGACAAAGGTGGGTGTAATTCCCAGGGTGACATGTGGACAGTTCCAGGAGTGCCTGGGGAGCAGCCAGCATAGAAAGGAGGAGAAGTGGGCCCTAGGGCTGAATGCAGCATATGGGAAAATGGAAACAAGGCTTTCCTTTAGTTGCCTTAAGACTCGTCTCTTCTGAGCTGGGCGTAGTGGTGTATGCCTGCTAACCTAGCACTCAGGAGGCTGAGACTAGAGAGTTGTGGCGAGTTGATGACCAGCATGGGCTACAAAGTGAGTTCTGTTCCAGCTTACTTCCGACCAGTATTGGCCTGGAATAAGCTTTTTCAGTCCTTTATTTTCTTTCATTATTTTTAATTTTTAAACTGTGTTGTAGATAGGGCGTCCCCTCCAGGCCCCACCAGTTCCCCAGCAGTTCAAGTCCCACATCAGGGTCAGGAGCAGCCGGGAGTGAAGAGCACTAGCTCCCCCTACAGGTCACACGCGGCGTTGAGTCTGCGGGCTCAGAGAAAAGGTGTGTTGGTTTGTCTTTATTGCCCCCTGCTTCATACTTAGCTTTTCCCCTGCCTGTCAACCAGAGGGGGTACAGAAGTCCAGGGTGATCCTCTTTTGCTCCCACAGTCAATTAAAAGCTAGTCCTTACACTTAACTCCTTCCAGCCCACTCAGTGAGATTCTACTTTCCCACTGAACTTAACATCCACACATGAATTTTACCTAAACAGGTAGGAGTTATCTTAAGTTGATGTCACTTCAAATCATGAGGAACAAAAGAAATCCACACTGATTCATTATCATTTTTCAACATCATTGAAAAAATCAGCAAATGAATGTGGAAAGCGGTATATCTTAGCATTCATAAGAGTTTTTGTAATTCAAAGGTATAAACATGAGAAAATAAAGAATATGTTTATAATCTTGGGATGTAGACAAAATTCAAACCTCATAAAGACTGAAAAATTGAACTGGGTATTGTGGCACAGGGCTGTAATCCCAGTGAGGCAGGGTTATGTGTTTAGAGTAGCTTGAATTCCATA